GTAGAGGCTGTGAAGGAGCATGAGGGCACGGTGCAGGTTCAGGTAGAGGCTGAGAAGGAGCATGAGGGCACGGTGCAGGTTCAGGTAGAGGCTGAGAAGGAGCATGAGGGCACGGTGCAGGTTCATGTAGAGGCTGAGAAGGAGCATGAGGGCATGGTGCAGGTTCAGGTAGAGGCTAAGAAGGAGCATGAGGGCATGGTGCAGGTTCAGGTAGAGGCTGAGAAGGAGCATGAGGGCACGGTGCACCAGCTAGAGGTGAGTCAGAGCTGAGAGGTGAGAGGTCAATGGTGATGTTTAGAGCAACGGACCTTTTTGTCTCCTTAATGAAGGAAATGCACTGGCAAACATCAACAGATATTCTATGTAGAATATGTATGCAACCCCCCTGATGAATATGTGGAGACACCCCAATGAATATACACAGACAGATAAAGAACCATGTGTTTGCTGGAACACAGCCTTGTTGCCTTGGTGACAGCCACGTGATGCGAGTGGTGGTGACTGGGGGCTCTGTGATCTGCGTCGGGGTGGGGGGGGGTGCTACTGGAAATCCTCTGTTCCCTGCAGAAGCATGTGGCTCTTCACATGGGAAAATTCACAACAGGCTTGTTAGCTGATGTCAGGCCGATGATGTCCGTGTTATACTGCGCTACCTGCTCCGTCCTCAGACAGTCACTGGCAGGCAGCACTGCACTGTGATAGCGAGTGTTTAGATGTTAAATCGGGCGTTAAGCACTTGGTGTTGTTTGCAAACATCTGTTTTTTGTGTATCCATCCTTCCATCTAATCGCTGTGTGCCATCTTTACCTCTGCATTCTGCTCTTTCTGTCTGTCGCCTGTCCACTGCAGGCCAGGGTTCAGGAACTGGAGATGAGGTGTAAGTCTCAAGCTGAGCAATTCAGCCTCCTATACCAGCAGCTGGAAAGGTTCTGCTTGCAGTCTGGAACGGCGGACACTGTTGGAGACGAACCGCTTGGTCCCGTGGATAAGACTCTGATTCATATTCTCAATGGACTAGCCTCCCAGGTTGAGGAAGGTAAGCCACCTTAATGCAGGGGTCTGCAAAGGGCCGGTGTGTAAGGTTTTTGGGGTAACCTTTAGGTCAGCTGCTCAGACCCAGGTGTGAGGACCCTTCAGCCAATCACTTCTGTAATTAGTAACCTAATATGGGAGATGCAGCAAAAACCTGCATACACAATAGCCCTTTCTGGATAAGATTGCCCATCCCTGGCATAGTGGCTCTGTGTCTCTGTGTGTGGGATCAGAAGGTCACTGGTTCAAGCCCTGGCCTCAGCAGAATGATCACAAGCCTGTAGGCCCTTAACTTCTAGCTCCAGCTATGCTGCACTATGGGGGACAATCGAAGAGGGAAAAATTTAAATGGCCAATAAAGAATTTATCTGTTTTGGTTCAGTTCAGCGTAAAATGAGTGATGAATATGTTATGATAAGACCGACCCAAAGCAGCGAAAGTGTTATTTTCTGCGGCTCCATGGTACCTGCAGTACCTACCTGGCTGTGTAGGGCTGCATTAACCTGCCCTACCATCAATATGGCCACTTGCCCAATGTGTCTGTGTTGCTACTCCAGGCCACACAAATTCTGGTGACCGGTGGCTGAAGCCCAAGCTCCTACCAGGGACCCCGACCAGTGAAGGAAGGACTCAGGCAGCCCCCCCAGCCCTGGGTGGGTCTTCCAGCCCCCAGCGGGATTCCCAGCCAGAAGTGCGTCCCGGGTTTCAGCCCGTCGCTCTGATGTCCAGTGGTCTGCCGCTCGCCGGGGGCTCTGCTGACCCGTGACCTGATGTCTCTGACCACCCTGTTCATCCCACTTGTCACGTGATGTGAAAAACTGAGCATTTCATGGCTGCCCCGCTGATGTGTACTTCTGTCATATCATACCTGTCAAGTTTTGAATTTGAAAATAATGGAAATTTTCCGGCACCCACCGCGAGCCATCCCACCACCCCAACCAAGCTCCAGTATCCCTTACATTTTAAGACAGGTGTACAAGAAATCTAAAATAACCACTTGTCATTTACATTTTATTTTCATTACACATTTTCTTTTAATTTCTCATGTTCACTCATGTGGCTCTCTGGCATTCACTAATGACTTATTATACAGATTTGTTGCAGACTTTGTATCCTTGTTGAAGTCGTCACAGAAGGTGAAAGTAACGTTGTTTTTGGCACACAGCATTGCCATTTTAACCTCCGCATTTATGACCTGGTTAATGTTGTAAATGCAGTTGTAAAGGCAGTTCTCGCGAGGCTACTGACAGTTCAGTTTAGAGAGGCAGAGGAATTTTTTAAAAATGATATTATAATACGGGAGATTTACGGGAAAATACTAATACGGGAGGACGGCGGGAAAGAGGGGTAAAATACGGTAGTTTCCCGGCCAAAACGGGAGACTTGACAGCTATGGTCATATGAAATTTAGCCATTTACTGAAGATCTTAAAAGGTATGACAATAGTATGTGTGACCTGGGATTAATTATCATATAATCACCCACATCATGTGCTCATCATACCCTAACACTCTTAAGATGGCTATAACCCTCTGCCTGCCCCCGCCAGATGGACGGTGACCTGAGCAGAACGACAAGGTCTGAGGCCCGATTCACAGGCAAAGTCCGTCTCTGCACCGCTCGCTACAGGTAAGCTGAAGTCATGGCAAGGCATGTTTCTGCTGGGGTTCCTTTATGGAAACAATGGATGCCATTGTTACCACCTTGTCCAGCGACTCAGTCACTTTGGCACCCTTGTGTATCCTCAGTCCCTGAGTGTGCCTTTCAGTTTGTATGAAGGTGATTGTCTCAATGCTGTTACTCAGTGCTGCCCACATACCTGACACGCTGCACTCTTCCTTTCTGCCTCCAGTTATAACCCTTATGATGGCCCCAATGACCACCCGGAGGCAGAGCTCCCTCTTGTGGCTGGGAAGTACCTCTACATCTATGGCACGATGGATGATGATGGCTTCTACCGAGGTTGTGCAGCATGATATGTCTGATCAGGCCCGGTTGCCCTGTGACCTTAAAGAGGGGTGTTGATTATGTGAATGTCCATAGTGCATGATTGTGTGTATTTGTACAAGTGTTGTTATTTTGGCTGATTGGGTGGCTTTTCTGTTTTTCGTGCAGTCAGTAAGGTGGCGTTGAATGTCCTGTTTCCGGGCTTTTTCCAGGTGCCTGCTTACAGGCCTGTTCCTGATGTTGGGTAATGTCTGTGCATTGCTCTGCTGGGATGTGACAGGCCACCTGATCTGCTGCGTCTCTGTGTCTCAGGGGAGCTGCCCGATGGCCAGCGGGGCCTGGTACCCTCCAATTATGTGGACTTTGTCCAGGACAAGGATGCGGCCCCCACCCCAGGCTCTGATGACAGCCAGGAGGCGGAGCTTGACAGGGAGGAGGGGAGGCGGAGCCTCCATGCTGATGAGCTGGAGGAGGAGCTTGTACCCCACCCTCGCAGAATCACCCTGATCAAACAGCTGGCGAGGAGTGTGATTGTGAGCTGGGAGCCCCCGGCAGGCCAGGGGGGCGGCGCCAACGAGACGGCCATCAGCGCCTATGATGTCCTTGTGGACCAGGAGGTGCGTTTCCGCATGCCCCCCACGGGCCGCCGCAAGCTGCTGATTGAGAAGCTGGAGCTGTCGGCGCAGGCCTATCGGATCTCGATCCGCTGTGTGACGCAACACGGCGTCTCCGATGAGCTCCGCTGCAGCCTGCTGGTGGGTCACGGTGTGGTCCTGGCTCCGGCACATCTGCAGCTCCATAATGTCACTCAGCACTCCGCCGATCTGTCCTGGTGGCCCTGCGACAGCAACTACAAGCACGCGGTGCTGCTGGATGGGGTCGAGCGTGTGCTGCTTGGCCCAGGTCGATACCGCTGTCGGCTGTGTGGACTCAGCCCCATGACAGTGTACCGGGTCACTGTAGTGGCACGGCCGCACCGTGTTCCCTGGCGGCTGCCGCTGGAGCAGCGTGAGCAAAGAGCGGCGTACCTGGATCTCTGCACACTGCCTGCAGGTCAGAAACTCTACCCCCTTTGGGAATATCATACAACACTATAATATAAATACTGCCACTTCATCACATCATGTGCCATGTGATGTCTCGGCGTGATTGAAGGGGGCTTGCTGACTCACCCCAAGCGCTGGTGGGGATGGAGCAGTTTTCAGGAAAGGGGGGGTGGGGTCAGACCAGCCCCTGGGGTACGTTTTGTCTTATCATAAAGGATTTCCCTCGGAGCTTCACATTTGCAGCACACCCACAACCAATCAACAAACCTCCTTTGTTATTCTGAGGCCGGCCCAATAATTGTCCCTCCACCCCCAGCGGTGTGTGTACATGCTGTTCCAGCAATCATAACCTTAAAGTGGACGGGACTCTCACCCTCATTTCTCTTTATTCTTGTGCCTGTCCCCCCACCCCAGGTCCCCCCTTGCCCCCCCAGAAGGTGCAGGTGCAGTGCGGGCAGACGCCTGGTGAACTGCATGTCAGCTGGAAGCCACCTGCGCTTACACCCTTGGGGACGTCCAATGGTGCCTGTGTCACCGGCTACGCTGTGTGCACCAGAGGACAGAGGGTAACAGCATGTCACTGCCGTTGTCACGGAAACAATAGCTTTATATCTAAGGAATGTTGGAATTCTCATGTGTGACATCTGTAGGGCTTGGATCACCTGTGATACATGAACCATATGTACGGACTTATAGAATCAAGTGGCATTTCTCAGTAATTACTATAAATCTACAAGCCAAGGGAGACAAAGATGAAAAGATGTTACATAGGAGTATCTTTTTTGTATTTAATGTATCATAAACCTTTTGGTTGTGATAAGGAAACATTTGAGTAAACTGGCAGCATAACAATCACAGTTCATTGCAGGTCACACTTTGAACGGGGCCTATGTGATGCACTGTCACCACCTAGTGGACATTTCATGAATAACACAGCATCGTGTTTAGTGGTGCTGGGAAACCGCTCTTACGCGATTAGCTTGGTAAAAAAAAAAAAAAAAGGCACAAATGAAAAATCGTTTATTAGCTGTGTGAGTGACTTTGGAAATAAATGACTTTTTTCCCGGCAGATTGCAGAAGTGATGTATCCTGCAGCAGAACATGTAACTGTGGAACTGAACCGGATTTGGCACCTTGAGGTCCGAGAGCTTGTGGTTCGGACCCTATCAGCGCAGGGCGAGTCCCAGGATTCAGAGGTCGCCACCATCCGCCAGGGGCTGATGGTGCCTCCTGCTCCGCCCCCAGCTCCACACATCCTACTTCCAGTCTGCCCCCACCTTGTTGACCTGCCACTCCCCAGTATCTCTACAGACCCCCACATCCCCAACCCCACCCCCCAGAGTGAGCCCATCTTCCAGCCACACCAGAGCATTCTACAACCACACCCGCTGCACAGTACTCCCCAGGCTCAGTTCGAACCATCAGGTGATAGCCAGGACAGGGAGGTAGATCCAGCCCATCAATGCACAGAACCCAGCCAGCCCTGGGCTTTGGGCTGTCACCCACCACCTACCCTAGTGCCTCCAACCCTGGAGGCTCCACCCCTCCAAGCTCGTCGCTCACCTTCCCCCCAGAGGATCCTGCCGCAGCCTCAAGGTGCCCCCATTCCCAATGTAATCATCAAGGCCATCGCGAGAGAGGCGACACAGAGGGCAGAATCCAACATGAGCACTGTGAGTGCCACCTATCCGTGATCCTGTTAACATGGAGGCGTGCTGCATAACCTGGGCTCAGCGGGGGCTCTGGGTCAATTGTCAGTGTGGTGCTCCAGAGTGCAATGTGTGGCTACAGTCACTAGCTATATGCTGCAATTTTTTTATGCTAGATGATTTATGGCACTCGTATTCAGAGCTCAGATGAAGAAGAGGATAAACATGAGCATGAAAACTTAAGACAGAAAGGAACTTCTGTGCATGAGTTCCTTACAGACTCCGAGTTTGGAAGACAGGTGACCAACTTGTGCACCTCCAGACACAACATATATACAAAGTGCCCCTTTAATCTGAAAATATTGATGTGTGCTTACATGCATAAGCAGAACATAATGGGGAAAAATGTGAGCCATGTACTGTATGAAGTAAAGCAAGATTTAAAGTCACATTTCACATACGGACCTTCACAAGTCGTATTTCACATACGGACCTTCACAAGTCGTATTTCACATACGGACCTTCACAAGTCGTATTTCACATACGGACCTTCACAAGTCGTATTTCGCTGGAACAAAATTAATTTTTACAATTTTTTTGTGGTTTTTGTGTATAAAAATCCATTTGTAAGAACACTTCCATTCCAGCAATTTAAATAATCTGGTACCAAAAGCATTCCAATTAGTGTAAACAGAGCAATGAAAGTAAGATTTCAGTAAATTAAACAGTCCAGTGACAGTAACATTTCAATAAAACATTCCACTGTCAGTAACAGCTGGATAAATGAAACACTCTACTGTCAGTTCAGTCACTTGAAATTAAAAAATCATTTAATAATTCCACTAAAATTCAAGGATATCCAGCATATAATTATGACAGTTAGCAATACCGTGCTGAGAATGTTTCAGTTACTTCTCAGTGCCAAGAACGTTTCATTGCTCCCGGCTTCAGCGAGGGCACAGTGTGGACTGCCCCAGTGAGAGCAGCCGGGGCTCAGACCTGTCCGCCATCATGGAGGAGGATGAGGAAGAGCTGCACTCAGTGATGGACAAGGAGGGTGTCCACCCCCGCAGTGTGCTTAAGGTGGGCTAAACCAGTTCAACTTAAATCAGAACTTAGTACTGGATTACTGGCTGCCATATGAGGAGTTTTTATTGTTTTAAGATTTTAGGGAGCTGTCGCCGTGTGGGCCGGTCTGCCCGAGTGGATACATGCTCAAACCGAAGGTCCGCCAGTAGCAGTGGATCCTACCAGAGAAGAGCCATCACGGTCCCATCCATTGGTCAGTGAGTAGCTCTTGCAGAGGACACTCCCCCACTCAGAAAAGCAGTTATAGATTCTGCTGCTCACAGTACTTCTGTGGGATCTAACAGTTTTAACAGACTGTACAATAATAGAATGTTATTAACATTCAGCATATGGAGAGGCAGAATTATCAATGCATGATGTTTTGATTGGGTGCTTCCCACAGAGATCACTCCTGAGAGTAACAGTGAGGAGAGCCTATCACTTGCCAAAGAACAGACCTGTTCTGATGCCAATCTGGCACAAAGAAAGTTATGGCCTTCATTTTACAATGGATCTTCAGAGCACATAAATGGTACGTGGGTCTCTTTGGAGGAACCAGTGGACCAGCTTTACAAAACTAGCTGTCTCCGATGCAGCCACCCCAAGTTTTAGTTGTAAATACTTTTTTCCCACTGCACTGTAGATGGTGCCCTTGGTCAACAGCATGATGGAGTAGCAAGGCTCAAGGAGTCGTCTGGGATATTTGTCGCCCTGTTTGATTATGATCCCCTCTCGATGTCCCCCAACCATGATAGGGCAGTTGAGGAGCTCTCCTTCCAGGAGGGGCAGATCCTGAAGGTAGGTTTGACAATAGAGGGTAAAGCTCAGCATGCAAGCAAACTGGCCCAATGAAGAAAAATCCAAAAGCTTGCCTTGTAGCTGGTCGAATGAGCGAGCAGCAGGAATCTTTCCTGTCATGATACAGTGGCTGGTCCATTCTCAGGTGTTTGGTGATAAGGACAGAGATGGGTTCTACTGCGGAGAGATTAATGGTAGAACGGGCCTCGTCCCCTGCAACATGGTGGCAGAGATTGAAGCGGGGGACAAGAATACGACAGACCAGCTAGTTCATCAGGGCTTCCTTCCCCTCAGCACCCCAGTAGCTAAAATCGGTAACTGACCTGCATGCAGTGCTCTGATCCAGGATCAGCCTGTGAACATTAAACGCAGATGGGTGAATCAGAGACATTTGGCAATCCAGGACACTTTTCCTGCCCTGTCTCTTACTCTGGTTCATAAAGATAGGAAGAGGCAAGGTGGTCGACATCCCCCAACACCCAAGAGGAAGATGGTGGCACTCTACGATTATGACCCCAGGGAGAACTCCCCCAATACTGACATGGAGGTACTGGGGCCCCCAACAAGACCTTCTGATACTATTTTGATGTGTAACTCATACGTTGATCAATCTCACAGAGCTCTGTTCTGTCTCTGCTGAAAGGCCGAGCTGACCTTCTCTGCAGGCGACATCATAACCATCTTGGGGGAAATTGATGAAGATGGCTTTTACTACGTAAGTCTGGATGAGGCACTAATACATGTTGCACATTAACCTATGAAACAAAGGGCTGAGGTTCAGCGGACATCAGGACGTGAGCCATGAGTTAATTCCTACCATGATGATTCTCTCTACTCCGGGTTCTCCTGTAGGGTGAAATAAATGGACAAAGAGGCCTAGTTCCCTCCAACTTCCTTGAAGAAGTGCCTGACAATGTTGAGATCCATCTGACGGGCACCCAAACTGTAAGCACACTACTTTTGCCGGACCATAGCTGTTGGAACTATGATCATGTGATTACCTCAGTTTGATCCAAAAAGAGTAAAAGGAGAATGAACAAAACAGAACAGCTGAGCAATACACTATAGATCTGGCGAGATGTATGGGGAACAGATTAGTATTGAAATGTTTGACCTCATGCCTCACATAGTAATGAGCAAGTCACTTTGACACATTCTGGTGAAGCATAGAAAGACCTTAGAGTTGTAACAGGCATCTACTCCTTGATTCCTGAACCAACTTCATTCCAAAAACCAGAAGGTGAAATTTGTGCATCAAAAACACTGAATTCCTACCTGTTCCGCACCAAAAGTTCCACAAAAACAAAGTTGACAAGAGCTAAAGGGGTGGGAGAAAAGGCAGCAAGTAGCATGAACCAATGGAGTTGAAGGAAACTGCCAGATGTTTAGGTAACTGAATATAGTGCTTGGAAAACAAGCAATTGATTATTCTGGTTCTGTTCAGATATGTGTATACTGGAGTTTATGTACACCGGCTCTCCATACAACAAGCAGTACACTATTACCTCGCAAAGCTGTTCTCTGATGCTCCCATGTAGGCTAATTGGCAGGGAACCACTGTATCATTCTGGACACTAACTTGTCAAACTGATAGTAAACTTGAACTGGGAGTGTCATGGTGGGGTTCTCACTCTGAAAGCCCTCCCATACTTATCTCCCACAGGTGCCCCAGGAAAGCAAAGAGCCTCCCCAGACCACAGCCTCCCCCAGTCCTGGCCCTTACCTACCTGCCATCAGGGCCAGTATGGCCCCCCAAAACCCAATCTCCAAGAGGAAAAAGGGATTGCTCTCCAAGGGGAAGAGGCTGTGGAAGAGGCTGGCGGCAGCCAGACGGGCCACCTGATCATGGAATGACATCACCCAGGATCCTATTGCCTTAAGGTCAACGACAAGTTCCCGTAAATACATTGGGACAGGTGCCATGTAATGACCTTTTGAAGACTTATAAGGTGGGGAGACTCTCCCCATTATGGGAGCCCCATTGACAGATCGGTCTAGCATGTACAGCCCTGCGGGTGGGTGATATCTGGAATGAACAGCAGACTCCCCTACAGTTTTCATGCCTACAGGCCTGAACCACTGAACATACCACCAGATGTTCAGCTGAAGCTTAAAGAACGAATTAAAGACATTGTGGAGTCATAACAGAAAGCTATCTGATCTACAGATTCCACTCCACCACACGAGTATAATTAAGCATCTTTCAAAACTCCCAATGTGCAGAATAAAAGGTACTTGCTGCAACTCATACTGTTTTGTGTGGGTATTGTCCCATCAATACCCTGCATGTCATGTGACCAGGTGCTTTGTAAGCAGAATTACCGTCAAAGTATAAACCTCTCCAACACAAAGATGACTCTGTTCTGTTGGCTGGTGATATGTAATGAACCCGGTGATCAGGAGACACCTCTTCCCCAATTCGTTTTCCACACATACCTCCATGTTAAATCAGTTGAATACAGGTTAGCCTGTCATTACTAGGCCTGCATTTCACAGAGATAAATTATGGGATATGGATACAAGGGAGGAATATAATGTGGGTAGGGTGTGCACAGGAAAAGGTCCAGACAGACAAAGTAGATAACGGGGGTTCTTTATTAAATATAACAGCCCAAATAACAGAAATACATCAGCCATCAAAATGAAACATACAATTAAACCAAAATCATTCCAAAACTATAACTCAGAAATCTACCACTTGATCTAAGGTTTGCCAGCTGATCATTAAGATGACAATCAGGTTGCAAAAATCACTTTCCCCTAATGCAGAAAAGGCAATTCACACAAACATGCTTGAACAAACACTCTGGCACCAGTGACAGCACCTCCCCCTAGAGGTAGAACAGCAAGTCATCCAGATTGGAGCTGGGTTCACGGTGGAGACTCTGACCCACCAGGAAGGCCAGCTTGTGGGCATATTGGCACGGGGCTGGCACACGAATAATCCCCTATAATAGCCGTAGGAGGCGCCACAGTTAGGAGACAGGATCTTGCGAAAGTCCCATGCAGATAGGGCCGGGCAGAACCTACCTGCCAGTTGAAGTACATGTGGCAGAGTTTGTAGGTAAGTCGCTGCATGTGGTCGGGCTTGAGTCCGCTGGAGTCGTACACTACATTGTAGTGGGTGGGGGCCACGCTGCCCATGCGCACTGCTTGGCTCACGATGAAGAAGTCGTACCTGACATACATGTAGAAGTTATCTCCCAGCCCCAGCAGCGCCACTCTCCACCCCCTCCCACCCTCCTGTGACATCCTCTCACCACTCCGGTCGGGTCACTTCAATGTCAACCACAGTCCCCGGAGGTGGGTTGGCCAGCTTCCCGTCAATACGGGCAAAGAAGCGTGTGCTCACACGTTTCTTCACCACCACCACGGTCAGTCTGGGCCTGCGTGCACATGGTCACATCACTGATTACCGGGGAAAGAGGCTATCCAAAAACCACAAGACCCCTGCTATACCTGCACCCAGAGCACAGAGGCTCACACCTCCAGCCGCTCAGACAGATACCAGCTTTCAGCTTGTCTTCCATTCAGAGCCCCACCCCCTTCTGGAGCCCTGCTACCTCTGCTACTCACTTGTAGTCAGTACCCACGGCTCGGAGGCACTCAAGGATTTGTGCCACCTCGTAGTCTGCGACACTCTGCAGCATGCCATCTCCCACGCCATCACGGTACACCATGATGCGTGCCGGCAGCCCGTCATTGTACCTCCTCCAGGCAACCAAGGCGCCTGCATCCAATGGGAGTAAGAGAAAGAGCTGGAACACGAAGTGAGACCCCTGGGACTTACTGATAACCCTATGGGTGTGAGCAGGGTAGCAAGGCCGACTGATATCCCTACGAGTGTGAGCAGGGTAGCAAGGCCGACTGATATCCCTACGAGTGTGAGCAGGGTAGCAA